ATATTTATAAAAACAATTTAGATACATTCTCCTGCAGTAGTGGTGAGTGAGCATTAGAGTAGGCTTTATTTAGTGAATTTTTTGTAAGAAAGTTACTGTTGAACTTTTTTTTTTATCTCAAATAAGAAATCATGCAATGAAACATTGAACAGAAAAAGAAAGTTTTAATTTCTAGAAAATGGTAAAAATTATCATGAACTAAGCAAAGAATTTAATGGTCAAAGTCCACTATACTAATCTTGAAAGAAAGTTAAGATCATGGATATAGAACTATAAACAGCTAACTCCAGATTTTGCAGTTTTTCAATAACAGAGTATTCTTATTATATTCAACTTGTTCTATTTGGTACAATAAACACACACAAAATTCCAAATGGTTACCTAAAATAGAAAATTTTTGATGGTTCTACTGAAAGCTCACTATTTTTGGATGATCCAATTTTCAAAAAAGTACAGTTTCACAATTAGTCACTTATTGGTTCTATACCTGTGAAATGTTTGAGACAAGATGACAAAATATGTAACCCATTTTGTAAAATAGAATATAAATGATGTAAATATATTTGTATATGTGGCTTGTATGTACATATATACCTTCTTATTCTATAACGGGTTGCCAAACTGTGGCTTGAGAGCTGCACTTGGCTCTTCTAGACCCTTACTGCAGCTCCCACTTACTTACACACACACATTTTTGTTTCTAATACACAATGTAATATACACAGAAATTGTAAATGAAATTATTAACTTAACCTCAAACAGGCAACTGAAAGCTTAGGTCATACTCATAAAATCAAAGTAATTAAATTATTACTGGTACTTTATGACGACTAGGTAAACAAAGTAAAGCCATTTCATGCAATGAGGGTCCATTTAAATGTAAAAAATAAGGGTCAATTACGTCATTTTCAATATATAGTGAAGTCAAAGTGACATTGTCCATGCTCCCTGACACAACTGAGAATGCTTAAAAGAATTTAGGGAGAAAAATAAAAAACAGCATTGCATGCACCTAATGGAAAATAAGTGCAAAAAATGAACAGAACACAAGAACAAAGCAATCAATGGTAATTGCTTTGTTCTTGGATTGCCTCTGTGTGTCAGCAAGTTCAAGGATTGTCCTCTCCCGTGGCTGATAGGTACAAGCAGGGTTGTGAAAAGACAGGCAAAAGAGATATGTGACCAGGGTGCCAAAATTCCAAAATTGTTACATGGGAGAAGTAATAAATTCATAGAAAACTGTCAAACACATATATGAAATATAATATGCATTATATTAATAAAATGTGACTGTTACAAATTTTAAAATTACAAAGTTTAATGAAGGCAAAAAGTTTAGCATATCCATATTTAAGTTAGCCTCTTTTTGGTGGAAAGTGCAATCCTTAGCATTTGGTATCGGGGGCAAAATTTACCTGTCCATCAAGTACAAGGAGCACTTAGTGCCTAACAAATGTAAGGATCCAAATTAATTATTTAAAACAATGGAGTCAGATTATTTATCAAATTCTTACATAATTGTTATTTACATAAAGAATAAAGATGAAAAGTTGGCAAAATGCATTTAGGGAATTTATCAACATAATAAAGTGTTTTCTCTGCATTTGGGTTTGCCTTTAACCTTTTTTACTTTAAAACATTATGTAAATAATTAAATAAAAGTTAAGAGTTTTAAAGTTAACTGCCCTCCATAAGTCAGAACAGACAGAAAAATTGATTTTTCATGTATTTCTCTACAATGCATAAGAAGTGTAAAGATTGCTTCCTTCTTTTTGGCTCCTCCTCAATTCTACCATGATACAACAAAGTCGCACAATGTCCTAGTTTAAAGTAAACTACACTACAAAAATATAACAAAATTGAAAAGTATTTATATAAATATTAGAATGTTAAGATTTATTTTAAGGAAGTGATGAAGCTCCCGTTATCAATAAAAATCTCAGAGATTGCTATACTCTGGACCCAATATTGTTTCATAGAACTAAAACAAACCATCCCAAATATCTAACTGCTGTAACATCTACTAAAATAGTCCCTCTGGTTCAATATGCTAAAAAGATGTTGAAAAAATCTTAAAGAATAGAATAATTTTTAAAAAGTCAAATAATAATTACCATAATTGAAATCATGATAAACAATTATTAGTTATATACCTAAAACAACAGTATATTAGTTAAAATGATGAATATGCACAAATAGAGCAAAGAATACTCTGTCTGAATTAAATTGATAATGACATAATGACGCAGACAATATGACGTCACAAAAACCATCATGATGATTAAAGTACCAAAGAACTCCAATATACTTGCACACAATATCATAAAATTCATTTACAAGAGTCCTTACATTATATAATTATTAACAATAAGCAAAACGATAATATCTTCTTTTATTTTAAAACTATTACCATATGAAAACTAAAAACAAGTACACATTAGAAATATACAGTAACTGCTATTAACTGTCAGTGATGTAATTGCTATCAGCTTAATTAAGCCAACATAACCAAATTAATGTAGAAATTGTTTAAGCAAAATAAAATAGGATTAAAAGTTTTAATTTTCTTCAATAATTAAACAACACTTAAAAACATACCATGCTGACATTGTTTTTATGTATCAATAAAATAAAAAACACAAGAGCACATCTTATCATCTAATTTAACACCAATCAACAGGAATTTTTGCTGTATTCCTTAGATTACTATATTGTTAATTCATGGTAAAGTCCCCCTTGCATTTTGGTTTCATTTTGAAACCAAAAAATCTGAAACTAACTACAACCATTGCTGCACACAATGAGATGTTTGTGATCAAAACATCTGTTGTTGTTGTTGTTAAGCCTATGCATATATGTACAATATTTATTAGCATTGAATCAGTGAAAAAAACTGATAAATTTACCTTAATGAATACTTTAAAAAAGTCTCTCAAATGAGCAGTATCTATTATTCATTGTAAAAAAATAAAGTATAAAAATGTTTAATGTTTATAAAAATGTATTAACCTTTTAAATATACTTAATTTGAAACAACAATGAAGCACATTTAATAGCATGTTACTTGGTTCATTTAAATGTGAAACACTTGGCGAAAAATGAATGTGCTTATGAATGATAAATAGCTAACCGAACTGTAAATGGCGAAACCCTAAAACTCGTTATTTAAAATGTTTTGAAATAACTTTTAATGGGCACTAATGTTAGTAAAACTTTCATAGTCTTAAGATGACATTTCATGCTCTTTTATATAAACATGTATTCTAATTGAAAATAAATTTTTACATCTAACAATTCAATTTAAACAAATTTCAATATAAATGTGTAATTCAGTGTTTTGCAATCTGTGATCTATCGGTAACATAACACAAAATGTTATAAGCAGCATCATTATTTTATTTTATGGTCCATAAACTCCAAGACCATCTAAAATTATGCCATAAATAAGAAACACATTATGCTGAATACACAGTACATTCATTAGTAGGAAAAAAGAAATAAATAAATATATACACACACTTACACATATTTTTATGTGTTTGGTTATAAATAATCAATACTAAATGTATAATGAGTAAAAAGTATGTATTTTTCTAGATTTAGCACATTTATTTGCTATTATATTATATTTATTTAAAAAAAAAAATACTTTACCTGAACCACATGTCTGACATAAATCTGGGTCACATTCTCTTACAGCTAAATAACAAGGACACTGTTTTGTATTACATTGCGCTTTACAACGACAACCTGGAAATCTCTGTTGGCCTGAAATTAAAACATGAAATGAATTTTTCTTATCTTCTTTTTTAAATTTAAAATAAATAAATAAAATCTTACAATCTGAACTACAATGACAAAACTTCTCACAAAAATTCTGTGCCATTACGCAAGGACACGTTTGGTCACACGGCTGTCCCGGATGATCACAAGGGGTATAATTATACACGTGATTGGACGACGTGTCCTTTTTAAGCTGAATTTTACGACAGTGCATCGACCAGAGACGATGTTTTTTTTTCTTTTTTCTAGGTGGCGTACTATCGTGAGAATTTTCTTCGGGAGGAAAATCGGCTAATTCTTTTTGAGCAAATGTATACACCTGATAAAATAACAATTTGTAATATTTGTTTAAAATCAGTATCCATTTAAAATAGTTTTATTTAAGAATAAATAAAATTTATTCAGCACATTCATACTGGTGTGACTATTTTATATCACAATAACAAGCAGCATATAATAATAAATATTTTAGTTGACAAATATAGTGTAACTATAATCTATCTTCTAAATTTTAATTTTTGCATCTTTCTATTTAAGAAATAAAAATATTTAATTAGTAACTATATTCTAAGACACATCATAACCTCATATTTATTTTTGAAATAATATTATGCAAGCATTTAGCACAAATACAAAGAAAATTTTAAAAATAAAGTGCATTTTACAATAAAAAAATGAACTACTAAACTTTGTGAATAATTTATCTTTTCTCAGATTTTACATACTTTTGGCTACTTTCCCACATAGTTTCCATTGTTTTTTAAAACATTTATCATAGTGTGAGACCAGTTTCTGTAGATCTGTGTCACAGAAATGTGCTGCCTGAGGATAACAGTTATCATCAATGGATCAAGAGCACAATTTCCTGTAGTCCAAATTTTCCAACACAGTTTTGTAAAGAAATGACTGTGAAACTGGTGGGAAATTAACTGAAATGGTAAATCGTCTGTTTCCACAAATCATGGTGTCTACTGCATGGACGAGATCATCAAAGATTACATATGGCCAACTTGAGCTTGATTCATCATGCATATTCTCCCAACTTTTCTTAAACAGTCTTATCCACTTACAAACTTTGCTATTACTCATTGCATTTGAACCATAAACTTTCACAGATATGGAGATGAATCTCTGCCGGTTTCACATTTCTTGTGGCCAGGAAGTGAATAATGGACCATATTCCACAGGTGGCGGGCCATTTTATCTTCTTAAACATTTCCATCATACAACACGAAAAGCACACACTGCCGACATGATTCAAAATGATGTGTGCGCGCAAGGAATCCCATGAGACACAGCACATGTGCAAAATTACTAATGTAAACATTTTAAAAAGATATTGCCAAACAGATCTTACTTAAACAAAGGTTATTATTGAAAATCATATTTTCCATAAGTCAACTATGCATCTTAAAACTTCTACTTTTGTTTATTTCTATAACAATATTACATTATAATAATACATTAGGACTAATAAAATTTTGATCTGATTTACATGCCCAAATAGGTAGATTTGAAGAATTTAACCTTGTGTACAATTTATCATACAAGTTTATTCTTTTTTTTACTATATATTTTTCATTTTTCTTAATTTCACTTTTACTTCTGGTTGTATATTCAGTTCATTTTATAATCTTCCTGTTTTCAATCACTTTTTTCTTAAATTTATTCTAATTAAAGTATATTCACTTCATTTCTTTAAAAGTTGTTGTTCACACTTTAAAGCTTCAACATTACTTGAAAAATCATTGATATTTTAATATTGCTTGATGTTGTCACTAGACATACAATCTTTTTGAGCTTTATCTGTAGACATTTTATTGTTTAACCTATAAAAACAAACTTTTGACACATGAACTGTACCTATAATCAGCATTTTGTTCATAAAAGTTTTGCATTTCATTTCTATTACCATTTTTTAGTTTTATTATAAGATTAATTGATAAGGCCATTACTTTAAGTATTGCTTATTGCTTTTCTTTCTGTGAGCATTATGTTGGCCTTTCTTTATTGCTAGACTTATTTACACCATCACTGGACACAAGATCAGCCTTAAAAAACTTTATTTTTTCCTTTTTGGTAAAATAAAGTGATTTTCTAAGGTTGATCTTGTATCAAGTGACGGTGCAATAAGTCTAGCAATAAAGAAAGGCCAAAATAGTGCTCACAAGTATATACCAAGACTAAACAAGATAGTATTAATTTTATTTATTTGTTTTTCCAAAGAAAGGAAAAACATGCACCAGTTGATTTTTTTCTGTAGTCATTTTATTGTTTTCCAATTTTGGTATTTACCACTTGTTGCCAATAAGTTATATACAGTGGAACCTCAGTATACGACCTTAATTCGTTCCTGGTGTTTGGACTTATACCGAACCAACCTTTCCCGTAAGAAGTAATGTAAAAATTATTAATCTGTTCTCATGTAAAAAAAAAATATCTGGTTTTAAACACCTCACTTTCCTGGCTAGTTTCTACTTGATTTTTCATGAGATCAGCATGTATCTTTTTAGCTTTCTCGCAAATAATTGCTTCTGATATGCTGTTGCCAGCACACTGTTTTTCAGTATTCCAAAGCAAAAGCAATTTCTCAACATGATCTAATGTCTTCGATCTATGTTTAGAAATTGATTTAACCCCTTTCGCAACGTTAGCAGATTTAATAATGTCTTTATTTTTCACGATTGTCGATATTGTCATTCTCGGAATACGGTATGCAACAGTTAAATCTTGAACACGCATGCCACCTTCATATTTCTCAACAATCTCTTTTTTCAGTTCCATTGTGATTTTAGTCACTTTTTAATTTTTCTGTTGCCTTTTTGCAATTCATGATTAATAAAAATAATAACATTTTACTTACAAATTAAAATAAAAAGAAATTTAAGAAAGTTATAAACTGTGGCACAGTGAATGTCTAGTCTGGTCTAGTACACCGATAGTGCTACTTGTTCATAGATGGCGCTTATAATTGAATTAAGTCGTATACCAAGCAAAATTTGTTTCGTCCAAACAGGACGTATTCCAAATTGGACGTATTCTAAAGCAGACGTATACTGAGGTACCATTGTATATTTATATTTAGTTATTTATTATTTTTCTTATTTTTGTTCTAGTTTTATTTTATTTACTGATTTTCTCAAATAAATAAAACACACCCACTAATCGATTTTCTTTGTGTTGTGTGTTTTATTGTTCTATATTTTTGGTATTTTCCACTTACTGCCTAAAATGAAACATCCTACTAACCTAAGAAAATTTATTGAAGAAAGACAAAAAACTATATATATGGATTGTTTCATATAGTGATTTTGTTCACAAAAAAATAGATAAATATGCATAAATCTTATATCATGTACAAAACAATATTCTTTTTCGTGCTGGTTTGGTGTCAAAAACAAATAATACAAATACTTTATTGTAATAAGAAATTTCTTGTTACAGGGGGTTAGCTTTAGAGAATTACAAAAAATACAATTACTTANGAACCTTTTTTTGTCAATTCTTAACAGTCAAATTCATTCTTTGTCAATTACACTTATGAGTTTCTCTGAGTTCTGATTTCTGAATAATCATCTGTTTTCACAAGGAAATGAATTAAAACTTATATCGGGCTCCCATGTGATTTTAGAATTCAATACAAAAGCTCTGCTTTTCCTATTACTATTCATCTTTACTCCTGACAATACACAAGAACAATTCAAACAACCAGATAAAATACTTTTGTTTTTAAACATGAGGGTGAGCATCCGGTAAAAAATGTGAATATGTGGTTTACAAAAATTATTGCAAAAATGCAAAGAATTTTTTGCTTGCATGTATAGGTTTTTCAAGCAGGGAAAAATGAATAAAAATCTCGTCTTATATGCAAGTAAATAAGGTAAGTCTTTATTTTATATTATTAAATTACTAATAATAATTATAGGAAATTTTAGTAATATTTGCAAAACATTTGATAACATAAAATTCTTAATATATGTATTTAAAAAATTGGAAAATACATATTAAAGGTCTTTCACATATAATTTATCATATAAAAGTATTAAAATTTATGTCATAGCCCAGAAGTAATAGGACAATTAAATATTTTATATTTTAGCAGAAATGTTATTAGTAGAATATAATGTACATGCAACGTATGTTCAGAATATAATATTTAAACATGCAAAACAAAACAAAATATAATTACAAAAATTGTTTAAAATTTTGTCCATTTATATCAAAAATCATTTAATTCTTGTAAACACAAAGTTATTATGGTCTGTTTAGTTCTAATATTTCATTATTAAACGAATTTTTAAATTCTAAATAATCAAAATAATAATATAATATATATAGTCTTATTCCATTTTAAAGACTTATAACAGTTTTAAGTATTATCATTAATAAATCTAAAACAAATTTACTCTTACTAATCTGAGCCTGTGCTAATCCAATCTCTCCTTAATCCAAATCAATTTGATTTGTTTTTTACTGTTTTTGACAAATTAATGAATTTTATATGATTTTGAGAATGCTCAATTATAACAAATTATTGAGAGTAAAACATGCAGTAACACACATTAAACAGAATAATGGAAAATTTCTTGAAGAAAGTCATATAAGTTTATGTTTTTATGAGATTTCTAGACTTTATTGAAAGAGTAGTTAAAAATAATAAAAACCATTTATTGGATAAATGGAAAAGATGAGAAATTCTAGAAAACTGAAAGAAATATGCAGAAGTGTTAGTCAGTTTTAACACTTGCATTAAATAGGATATTTACTCACAAGATCTTATTATTTTACATCTATACGTCTATTTTATATTTTGTGATTATTTATTTGATTTTTCATAGAAAATATTAATATTGTAATGATATTGAGAAATGATTTATCTATTAAAAATCAGTTTCTGTATTGATAATTATAAGTAGTAAATAATTTTTCTTTCTTTTAATAGTATTTATTTTTGTTCTTAGCTCTAGCTAATCAAACAAATGGACAAATTACAGTTATACTTGCTTCCATTTTACCAACTTTATTTTTTATTGCAAGCTCTCTTGGAATAGTAGGATATATAAGTATGTATTTTTATAATTTAAATAATTAATGTTAAGAAATTTAATTGCTAAAACTTTTAAATTAAGTGAAATTATTTATGAATTTAATAAATTAGTGAATTTATTAAATGAACCATTGAAATAATTAAATTTATTTTTCATATAAAAAGGTCACAGACATATAAATATTTCAATAAATAAATTAATAATACAGTAGAGTCTCAAAAACTTGGCCTAATGTGGACCGAAGGGTGGCCAAGTTTGTGAAAATGCCAGGTTATTGGGAATGGGGTTAAAAAAATAAGTATGAGTGTTTCCTCAGAAAATACTGTACTGTACTTGTATGCATTGTTTACTTGAGAATACAACAGAGAATAAACTGCCCAAATACCCTTAAACAAAGGAAAAGTATGTCCTTTATGAAGTCATAGAACCTTTACTACATGAAAATGAAAATTATTGAATACACTGTGTACAGAAATTTACCTGATAAGACAGACCTCAGAAAAATACTTTATGAGGCATAAAGCTGTCTATAATGAAAATGAATTAACTAAAGATTTTTTTGCCCTGCCAGGGTTTGGCCGAGTTATTCGGAGTGCCGGGTTATTGAGTGCTGAGTTTTTGAGACTCTACTGTATTTACTTAAAATTTTTCAAATACTAATATGAATATATTAAACAACCCGAATATATATATATATATACACCTTACTGGGTAAAACATTAAGGATTACCCTGAAGAACTCATCTTCTACTGTACTATTTTAAATGCAATTTTTTGTGTTTTTGTGGGAAACTGAACATATTGTTATACCAATCTAAAAATTCTTTAATTAGTATCAGAAGAGGGGGTCCTAATTCTTGCACTTGGTGAAAATGGGTAAGATCAGCTATAATCTAATAATCTTAATCTTTGCTATTGTTACTTTTTGCCTGAGCAATGCCAAGCACATCTGCTAGTTATTTAAAAAATTATTAAGATAATAATTATTATTATTATTATCCCAAAATATACTATATAAATTCAGATTGGACTGTAGCTGAAAATCAATTGTTTATCATAGACTGGCTGTGTTAATGTTATCATGAGGATTAGTCTTCTATTTGCAAATTACTTATTTTTACTACTAAAAACGATTAAGTTCTGTTTCATATTTTAAATCACATTTCTATCATGTTATAATCAATTGCCATCCAGAAACATTAGCTCATAAGAACAGTATGAACAACTTTTGAAACAGACTGTGCATATTTATTAACAAATCACAAAATTAATTTTATTTCTCAATAAATGGGATCATTAAGTTGTAATCTAAACATTTTCAGTTAAGTATAAAATCCTGTTTTTTTGTGATTTTTCTGCTGTTNCTTTAGAGAATTACAAAAATACAATTATTACTTATTGAAACATTTTTTTTAAATATCTTGTTACATAAAATTTGCTAAACATAACATATTAGTTATTCAATCTACATATCATATTTCAAATTCTTTAAAATATGAACAAAAAAAGTTATGAATATTAAACATCTTAAATAATGGAATTTTTTCTAGATTGGTTCTGAAATTTTCTTCTTAATTTAAATCAAAAATCTCTTTTAACTTAAATTTACATTACGCTTCTTCAATCTTTAGACACTCAGTAAGAATATAATAAATGTTTTATAAAAATGGTTGTAAAGATCAAGTAGAACTTGCCTACCTGCTGGCAGAAGAAGTTTAATAAATTTAGTGGTAATTATATCCATTTCGGGAGCTGTTTTCGTTTTTAATTTACTAATTGATATATCCAGTTCTTCGGTAGATATTGGAATATCTAAACTTTCATTGAAAGAAATTTTTATATCGGCATAAGAAAGACTGTAATTTCTGTTAATCTGTTAAAAAAAACTAGCCATTTGGGAGAATCTATTTGCATTGATTGATCACAGTTGAAACATCATAATTTCTTAATCATAGACCTTAAAGGTTCATTAGTTTTATTTTCTAAGATTTTATAATACAAATTTTTGGCTTAACGATATTGATTGAATGCCGTTGATGTAGATAATTTTTTTTAAACTGGAGTAATGCTTTAATTATTTTCATTCTTAAATTCATATATCCGGTATAAACTTTCATTATTATTATGTGCAGCAGGCAAGGGACTTAATAATTGAGTCTCAACAAAACGTAAGTCTTGAATAGGAGTGTTTAAATTGATCATATGTCATTGCGGAGTGTTCTCAGAAGTAAAATACGGGGTAAAAAAATCCAAGTATACCAGCCCCTCCAACACATACCTATACGTCAAAGAATAATTGCCCAACAGTATAGTATCACCTCGGAGTTTTGGATATTTACCTGCTTTCCTTAACTCGCTTAAAAAAAGAATTAATTGTTTACGTCTTAATCTAGATCTTTTTATAAGGTCCTGTGAAATTCGAGTTTCTTTCCATACATTCGATAGGTTTTGCCGTTTCATTTTTATAAAACTCAAATAAATGTAATCTCTTATTTGGGTATTTTTAATAATTAATTTAATTGTTGGATACTGTGATTTAGTTATTGGAATAATCGCTATTAAATCATCCATTGTAACCTCATGTAATTCTAATGATTCATTAATAAGATTAAACACTTCTAACTTGGTAGGACTAGTTTTACTGGGATATCTATATAACATTATATTATTTCGATGTTGCACATTAACCAAATTGTCCATTCGATATTGCATACTTTCATTTTCTATTTTCAAATTAGCAATTTGTTGTTCAAGATTAATTATTTGGCTATTCATTTTTTGATTCTGGACTTTAGTTTCTTGGATACTATTACGAATCTGGTCCAAATATTCTTTGATAATAGTCATTTGATTTAATATTCTCGTATTAGAAACATTAATTAATTCAGAAATTTTATTCCATAGTGTTATACTCGATATATCAGATGAATTTTTTCCTGGCGAAGAAGATAAAAACTCAAATGGCTCACCTGATAGTTGTGAACTTAGAAGTGTAGTTTCAGGGTTCAAACCTGCGTTTGCAGAGGATGGTTCAGGAGAAGTTCTTTCGACGTGTAAATTGTAGTCAGTAATTAACCTGGTATTAGTGGTCGAAGCAGATTCCTTTCTACTAGTTGATTTTGACTTTTGAAGTGGTGGTCTTCCTCTTTCAATTGGCGAGCGTTGCATATTAATTATGTTGATAGATTTTCCAACAATTATAATGTTAACACACAGCACAAACAAATAAAATTTTAACATAAAATTATTTGACAGGATACATTCTTTACCTGTATTTGAAGTGAGTAAAAAAACGCGCCAGCAGCTTCGGCAGACAGAAGTGCCCCCTTAAGATAATAATTGTTAACTTATATAAGAGATGGTACCTAACATCTATCTTTAGTAGCAAATTACTTAGTATTAATTATTAAAAATAGCAGATTTATAGCCCAAGTATTTAAGGCAATAATTTGATTATGTATCTGTTAATATGGCATTTATATATGTTTCTTTTTGAAAGAAATTTCTATATGTTGCTAAATTATTGTACTTGTTTTGTTTTATAAATTTTATGATAAAGTTTTTATGATTTACAGTGTACAAAAGGCATCTGAAATGCAAACAGATATCACAAATAGTTGAACAAGAATTACCAATTCCTGATACAGAATTGGCAACTTTACGAGAATTACCTTTAAATGGAAATTTTGTACATCAAACAAATGCTTTATATTCTATTGGGTATGTTAGTAAAATATAAATAAATTTTAAAATTAACAAATAGAAAATAGTTGCTATATTTAAAAAAAATTATAACATAATTTGTGAATTATATTAAAAATTGAACAAATATTTCTATTTGATTTCTTTTACAGTGATATTCCAACAGATGAGGAACTTGCAATGTTGCCACAAATACGTAGAGAGCAAATTATATTAACAAAATTTTTAGGTAGTGGAGCATTTGGAGAAGTATTTGAAGGAATTGCTCATGATTTAAATGGAGAAAATGAACCACCTGTTAAAGTAGCTATTAAGGTAAAGTAAATAAAAATAAAATTGAGAAAACATATATTTATTAATACATATAATTACATTAAAATTTTGTACATAGAAATTTTTTCATAATTTGACTTTTATTACAAATTTAACATTTATTATATTTAAATATTTTTTATACCTTTAAATAGAGAATTATAAATGAATAAAATTTATAACTTTACCAAAATAAAAGAACAGTAATTTTCATTTTTTTTTCTTGTGGTGTTTTATCACTGTATATTTTCAAGAAAAGAATATTTCAAATTCTTTTAAAAATTAAACAAACAAAAATAGACTGCTTAGAGGAACTTAAAATGTTACTTCTTTTATCCTTNAAATTTTAACGTAAAATTATTTGACAGGATACATTCTTTACCTGTATTTGAAGTGAGTAAAAAAACGCGCCAGCAGCTTCGGCAGACAGAAGCGCCCCCTATTATTATTATTATAATATATATAGGCTATATAATGACTTTTCTAGTATCAATAGTATTCGTGTTAGGTGAGTATAAATCTATACCTCATTATACGTACATGTAATTTAAGTTAAAAACTGCAGATTCTATCAGAAATTGATAAAATGTGTCAAACGTAGACAAAACTGTGACTAAAATTTAAAAAATAAAGTACTTTTATAATTAAATAATAAATTCTAAAATGCGATCAGTAATTAGGTCCATCTCGTAATTAATTTACTATATATTAAAACAATAAACTGTCATTTTTAATATGATTAAAAGTTATTTTAATCTACAGTGTGCGTCAAAAGTCGCTTTACATCCTTACAAAATCGAGTGAGTTGGACTGAGGAAATTTTAACATGATAGAAACATGTTACCCCGTTAAAGATGACTGCTGTTGAATTCCTCTATCGTGTCAAAATATCTTCTGCCCAATTCATTTCGATTTTATAAACGTGTTACGCGACTTTTTACTCGTGTATATTATGTATATATTAGATTGACAGTTAAAATGAAACTTTCATCAACATTCCACAAAGTTTTTTAAAATTATTTTTAACTTATATATAAATCTGACTTTATGTAAAACGTTTTAGTTTTTCATACAAATCAAAAGAAATTATTTTAAAATATATATTCAATTTTTGCATTTTTACGTATATTTTTATGCCAATTATCGTAAAATAGTTTGAAAAATTCAAATACAGTAGAGCGTCGATTTTCCGAAAGTCCGAAACGTCAATCATCCGAAAGAATTCCAGTCGGCAAATTTAAATTTTCGCCAGTGCTGTGGCGCTTCAATCTTTGGCTATGTCTTGGGCTACTCAAATATTTTACGTTTTTGATACTAAATTAACATCTGAAGTATAATTTTTTATTATTTTTATATTTTTCAATATATTTATTTTGTTTGTACAAAATAAAAAAATAATTTTTAACGATACAATAGTCTTTGTTAGGCTTAACATCGACGAAAATTCANTACCTTTAAACATCACCAACCACTGCCCATTATATAATAAACATGCCAAATGATAAGCCAAATTCTTGGGCAATGTAAAGGCTATAATTAAATATTAGAAATTAATTAATTTGACTAGAGATAGGCAGTTATGCTGCCATCTTGTATTATGTTTAATAATTATAAATAATTAATTTTTAATTTAGACATTTCTAAAATTTAATTTGAAATTGGTCATTAAATTTAATACAATACAATTTGACTAAAGGTAGGCATAACTGGTAAAGATAGACTAAAGGTAGACTATATAACCTTTAGTCAAATTAATCAATTTCTAATATTTAATTATAGCCTTTACATAGCCCAAGAATTTGACATATTGCTTGGCATGTTTATTATATAATGGGCTATGGTTATTGATGTTTATATGTAAAATGTCTGAACACAAGTTTGGAAAAATGTGTAATCACAAGTGACACTAAGATGCCAAAAAAATCACATCAACCAAAAAAAACTGCAATGAAAAGGAAACCTGGACCATAACAAAAGATTCAAACCCACATTCATAAGTAGACCCCTTTTCCTTGTCAATCTCTGCCTTCGTAGATAAGATGCTTCCTACTCCTCAAACTAACATCCCCAAAACAAACAAAACACCCAGAACAAAAATTATCATATATAAACCTACTAATTAAAGGAATAATGCTAATGCTTAGGATTACTTTTCTTCAGAGCTTAAAAGTTATCAGTATCTTATATTATTTTTTAGCTCCACAAACTAAAGTTTTATAATATAAACTACTAAGATAATTTCAGTATATTATTAAGTCTATTTTGATGATTAGCAGAACAAGTGCTGAACATAGACTGATATAGTATGTGCACAATCTGGTACTTCCCCTCTCCTCATCACTCAGATGAGATGTCACTCATTAAGTGATAAAAATTATAGTTATATTTGCATATGTGGAATATTAATTCATCTTCATTTTTTGAGAATATTTTGTAGATAAAACTATTTTTAGTTTTAAATATATGACATTATATAGGTATTTTAATCATATAAAATGATAATTGATTAAAGTAAATGATACCTGAAAAGAACTTTAGGAATCTGAATCTTATTTGTGCTACCTAACTATAATCAATAAGGTAGATGACCTGGCTTGTTAAGTAAAAGGCAAACATTGCAAAATGCATTTGGAATCTTAAGAATTGATGGAGCTGCTGCTGACCATACAGGCAGTAGTTGACTAGAGATTGAAAATCGTGAAGATCTCAAAACTGAATGTGATGAAACTAATTTACAGTGGCACCCCAAGATTCCTCTTCTGATAGCTAAATTTTTTATTGTTTTGTTAATATGATGTTTAAAAGTTAGTTTTTCATCAAAAATAACTCATAGGTATAAGAATATATACCTATAAGAAGGAATGTAATTCAGTTGTTTTCCATAAATATAAAACATATAATAGTTTGGACTTCAATAGTGTTTTGGATAAATTAATTTTAAGATTTAAAGATTCAATGGAAGTGACTAAAATATTGTGATCAGCTTGAAAAGTTTCTGGATCAGAGTTGATTATTTTTAATCATCAACATAGCCTATAATTTTAGAATTAACTCAAGGAATAACAAGATCAAGAAAAGTGATAAAAAGAAGGCTGTTTAAAATGGATCCCTGAAGAATTCCACATACTGACAAGAAATTAAAAAAAGAAGTCTCTTAGTTTACCTTTGCAAGAATATGGTAAAAATTAATTATTTAGCCAAATTAGAACAGCAGAATGAACATCAAAATGATTTTTTAAATATTTAATACAGAATATTTAGGAAAAAAATATGTAAATTAGTATATTTATGCTGTCCAATAACTTTTCAGCCAGTCATAATTTTTAAATGAGCAAGTTATTACAAAGGTTCAAAACTTTTGTAATAACTTACTCATTTAAATAAGTAATAAGTTCTCCATTCTAAACATATTTCTATTATATTGTATTTTTATAAATTATTTTAATATATAAATATTGTATAAAATTTGTTATATCAATACAAGAAACTTAATAATCATAAATAATTTATTATACATTATTTTAATATAAATTATAAAACTATGGTTTATTGAAATTTACAGACCTTACGTAAAGGAGCTACAGATCAAGAAAAAGCAGAATTTTTAAAGGAAGCAAAATTAATGAGGTATTTAAAAATTATACAAAATTTTAAACTTTATATTAGGTTTAAATAGTTGTACAGTGGAACCTCATTTAACGAGCAAAATTTGTTCCAGAATCTTACTCATAATGCGAAATACTCGTTAAGCGAAACAATTTTGCATTCCGTGCTGGAAAAAAATACTCAAATATTTTACGTATAACATTTATTCAAAGAAAATTATACAATATACATTGTTAAGGAGTGTGAATCATCTTCATCTTTTCTTTTAGTGTAGAATGAACCAACCTGAAATGCAAATTTGATTTGCAGAAAACAAAAAAATCAAAAAAATATGTCTCATAAACAGCCAAATGATATGCCAAATTTTTATAATTATAAATAATTAATTTTTAATTTAGACATTTCTAAAATTTAATTTGAAATTGGTCATTAAATTTAATACAATACAATTTGACTAAAGGTAGGCATAACTGGTAAAGATAGACTAAAGGTAGACTATATAACCTTTAGTCAAATTAATCAATTTCTAATATTTAATTATAGCCTTTACATAGCCCAAGAATTTGACATATTGCTTGGCATGTTTATTATATAATGGGCTATGGTTATTGATGTTTATATGTAAAATGTCTGAACACAAGTTTGGAAAAATGTGTAATCACAAGTGACACTAAGATGCCAAAAAAATCACATCAACCAAAAAAAACTGCAATGAAAAGGAAACCTGGACCATAACAAAAGATTCAAACCCACATTCATAAGTAGACCCCTTTTCCTTGTCAATCTCTGCCTTCGTAGATAAGATGCTTCCTACTCCTCAAACTAACATCCCCAAAACAAACAAAACACCCAGAACAAAAATTATCATATATAAACCTACTAATTAAAGGAATAATGCTAATGCTTAGGATTACTTTTCTTCAGAGCTTAAAAGTTATCAGTATCTTATATTATTTTTTAGCTCCACAAACTAAAGTTTTATAATATAAACTACTAAGATAATTTCAGTATATTATTAAGTCTATTTTGATGATTAGCAGAACAAGTGCTGAACATAGACTGATATAGTATGTGCACAATCTGGTACTTCCCCTCTCCTCATCACTCAGATGAGATGTCACTCATTAAGTGATTCACTTTTTTTACAATTTGTTTTGCTCATTATGTGAATTACTCGTTATGAGAGGTGTTGATAAATTATATAATTTAAATCATATTTAATATTGAAATTGCTACCCCATCATAATTCAAAATATAGACAGTTGTTTTTTATTATTATTATCCCAAAATATACTATATAAATTCAGATTGGACTGTAGCTGAAAATCAATTGTTTATCATAGACTGGCTGTGTTAATGTTATCATGAGGATTAGTCTTCTATTTGCAAATTACTTATTTTTACTACTAAAAACGATTAAGTTCTGTTTCATATTTTAAATCACATTTCTATCATGTTATAATCAATTGCCATCCAGAAACATTAGCTCATAAGAACAGTATGAACAACTTTTGAAACAGACTGTGCATATTTATTAACAAATCACAAAATTAATTTTATTTCTCAATAAATGGGATCATTAAGTTGTAATCTAAACATTTTCAGTTAAGTATAAAATCCTGTTTTTTTGTGATTTTTCTGCTGTTTAAAATTTGAATTTTAAGAGCAATCATGTTTATTACAAAAAAGAACAACTTCCATTTTGTAATTGAAATAAATAAAATTTTTAGAATTTATGAATAAATGTCATCATTCTTTTCCTTAGCAAGTGAAACTGGAATAAAAAATTTATTCTTGGATGCATATAACTTTAATGTTAGATCATTTTTGATATTCTTTCATAAAACAAAAATCTGTATATGTAGATAAATAGATCTTCAACATCTTAACATTTTAATTAATTAGTTAAATTAGTTAAAAAAATTCTTTATCCAATTGAGACTAAATAGAGAAATTATATTGATTAATAATAATACTTACCAATTTTCTAAACTATTCTGTATAAGTTGTGACGTTGCCATGTCTAAATTTAATCTATTTTGTACTTGTAATAAGGCTCAAGAGTTATGTAAACGATATAATCTTGAAGCTTTAATCTCCAAAAATAATGAAAATTCTACATATCTATTCTTCCACAGAGCTAAAAAGAATACTATATATAATTTATTCAACTACGCACAAAAATATTTTGTTATTAACCAACCAAATATACTATCTTTGTAATTACTCCTTTGTTAAATATAAACAAAATTAAGATTGTGTTGTTATAGATTGTCCTTTTGGACTATTTGTCTTAAATTGATTTATGTTATTCTTTACTTATAATTTGTTAAAATAATACCACCTTCTTGTAACAGGCATAAGCCTATTATAAATAAAGTTTATTGATGATGATGATGATGAACATTTTAATTATATAACATAAATTCATAAATAAAAAAATTTAATATATTATTAATTTTCAGTAATTTCAAGCATGAACATATATTACAATTATTAGGAGTTTGTCTAAATAATAATCCCAATTTTATAATTTTGGAACTAATGGAAGGAGGAGATCTACTGACTTATTTGCGTTCACATAGACCATCAATTGTAAGTATTGTATTGTGTGACTGTTTACATACTGTAATTTGCTTTTTTATTTAATTAAATAATGTATATCACAGAAATCAATTTTAAATCTGATTTTTCTAACAGCACATCTCTTCAGAAAGAGTTTGATTTGTATTAAAAAAATTAAATTGTATTAAAAAGGTTTTCAATAAATATTATTAAAATATTTATTAAAAATTGTTTTAATACAAAAGAAATCTATTTGATATAAAATTTTATAAATGTATTACCATTTTTTTATTACCAAATTTCTTACGTTAGGAAATACTTTGTAACATACAATGTGTACAAAATAAATATTATGAATATAATTTGATAATTGATCTAATAATAGAGAAACAAAATAAAATCAATGTAGCTTACATTAAAAATTATGGGATTATTAATTAAAAGAAATATAAATATAAATCAATGTTATTGGAGTGAAAATAGCAGAAATTTTATTATAATATTTGGTTTGTGTTCATATTTTAAAAAGTTTCATTCTGATGTAATTATATATATAAATAACACCAATAACAAGAATATATGATTTCATCTTTTTCTTTCATATTTTATTAAATGTCTGGCTAAATGTCTCACTATTTTTAGAAACTTGACTTGACAATTGTTAATGAATGTTAAACAAATTATTATTTAATTTTTTTTTTACAGTTTACATCTAATCCATTAAATCTGGAAGATCTACTTTCAATATGTGTTGATGTAGCAAAAGGTTGCAAATGCTTGGAAGAAATGCATTTTGTACATAGGTAAGTACTTTAATATTGTTATTTTTAAGCTTCAGAAAGTTAATCCATCTATAAGTAATATTTGGGAATATTACTATGATTATATAATTATACAAATTATGCTATTATTAGAATGTTCTTTATTCTTTTCTTTATATGTATATATTTGTACGTATCTAATTATGTTACAAGATGAACAATAGATAGTAATTATTAATGCATAATATAAATGTAATTTATTAAAAATATGTATTAATATAAAGTATAAGTAATAATAAATAATTGTAGGTAATGCCGAACACTAGAAATTTTCATATATGAGTACTTTATTATCATCTGGGTACCTGTGATTGGGCATTTTGTAGCCAGATTTTCTAACAAATTTTTAAAAAGTCAGATTTATTAAACAAAGATGGACTGTTGACAATAAAAATTTTAAAACTAATTAATCACTATAGTATATAATAAAAATGAATGTATGTCTGTCTGTCCTTCATGCATTGCTATATCATTTATCCAATTGCCATGAAACTTTGGGAAGTTGTTTAATACACTCCTGCAAAGGTTTCTGGCATAGTACATTTATCCTATGATAGATGGCGCATGTGTATACAAGCATTTCATTGTGAGGATTTCAGCACAGTTAGGAGTTGAAACTTGAAATTTGGTACACAGTTAGGGGTACGTTACAAGAATGCACACTAACAAGGGATTTTTTAAGTCCTCTGCGGGGAAAGGGACAGGATTAAGGCTTTAACAATGGAAGTGTTAAGAATAGAAGTGTTAAGAGAAAGCAACGTGCAAGATTTACAGGTGCAGATGTGGTTTTTTGCGTTAAATCGAACATAATTTTAGACCCATCTAAAAATTTTCTAATTAGTCTGGAAACAGGGGAACTTAATTCTTGTATTATGTGAAAATGGGTAAGATTGGCTGTAATGTAATAATCTTAATCTTTGCTATAGTTACTTTTTGCCCAAGCAACGACAAGGCTTATCTGCTAGTAGTATATAAAAATCAATGCATTAAAAATGTTATAATGTGTAAATATAAGAAATTTAATATTTTAAAGTTTGTTATTTACTTCAATCAGTGGTATTAAAAAATAATAAATTTGTTTTTTATATTATTTAATTTGTTAAATAAATTCACATTTTTGAGATTCACTTATTATATCTGCATACTTTATTTTTATAAACTTTGTATTTATTTTTAAAATAAGTATCTTTGAATTACCTGTCAGTTTTCAAATTATTCCAAAAAGTTCTATTATTATATATTGATATGTATCAATAAAAATTAATTTTACTATAGTTATACTGTAAATAAAATTTAATAAGTTTTTTTTCATATTTTATTATTATATGAATTTCTAAAATTTTATTAGCATTTCCATTNAGAATTGTTAGTATTTTAGTATTATATACAGTACCTATTCGTAGATACCACCAACGTATTGACGGCCGGATAACAGAATGATTAAAGTGATAGCCTACTGCTCTGAGGAACCAGGAATCGAATCCGAACGGGTTGAAAAACACGAACTCCAAGAATTTTTGGGTGTGATCCGTTCCGGATATGTCAGGTTCCTTCTCTCATTCGGTCGTCACAATATGGACACAATGTGCTTGATTAAAAAGACCCTCTTAATGTCCGGAGGTGGATAAAGTTTAAAAACAGATTATTCCAATATTAATATGTTTAATAAATTTCATTGCAATTATATTTAAATTAATATTTATATCAAAAGTACAAATTATAAAAAGAAATTAATTACGATATTTTATGGTTTATTAAGAAAGAATATAAGGTATATATTAATCTAAAAAACAACAAAGAAAATTAATACTAAACAGAAAATTTAATTTTGGAAATTAGTATCAATTCAAAATACAAAATAAAACAAAATTAAGAATTTATTTTAGTTAAGGATAAAAGGGGGAAAGTTTAAATGAAGTGAAGAACAAAAGAAAAATACTGAATACTAATTACATCTGTCTGAAAATTTGAAAAATATTAATATTCTTTCGTGAAATTTTCAACTTAAGATAAATTAGTATTTAAAAGAAAGTTTCCTATTTCATTCTTATTCCCTTTTGACATAATTCATTATTTTATAAAATTTATCTAAAATAACAGAAAATCTGAAAGAGCGGTATCAATCATGTCGTTCTTTCAAGAGCTTATCGATCATTTTAATTTTAATAGAGAATTTAAAAACATATATTACCTCTCTGATTTTATATTTATAAAAGTATAATTTATGCAATGATAAAGTGTATCTATATATATAATCGAGATAGGTTGATGATAATAATAATAATAATAATAAATGCAGAGCCCAAATGGTTAGGAGTTGAAGGTTGAAATTTAGTACATAGTTAGGGTACGTCACGAGAACGTACACTAAGAAGGGATTTTTCGAAATTCCTCCCTCGGGGTAGAGATTGTTAACACTTCCCGCTGGGGAATTGTTAACAATGAAAGTATTAACAATGGAAGTGTTAAGTAACAATAAAAGTGTTAAGAGACGTGCAAGATTTACAGGCGTAGATGCGGTTTCTTGCGTTTTTTCGGGAAATCGAACATGTTTTTAGACCCATCTAAAAATTTTCTAATTAGTCTGGAAATAGAAGGACCTAATTCTTGCATTTGAAATTGGCTGTAATGTAATAATCTTAATCTTCGCTATCGTTACTTTTTGCCCGAGCAACGCCGGGCTTATCTGCTAGTTTATAATAATTGAATAATTAATAAAATAATGAATATTTTTTAACTTAAAAAAATTGAATTACTTCCAGTAAATAATGAGATGGATTGGATGGGTGAAAGATTAAGCAACACAAAAACAATCTGCCAAGGGTAGTGCTTGCCGGGAGGGACTTTATGGAAAACTCCCCCATATTTAGTTATTAAACATTGTGAACAAAGCCTAGAAAATGCTATATGGCCAAGCCCTTTGGTTAAGCTCGAATCCGCAATATTCGGTGATTTTATCCAATTGACCGCTAATGGAAAAATAATAGAGTGAATTTGATATATTAAATTAAAAATGCTAGTAATCTAAATACTGAATATGTAGATGGAAAAAGTCAATAAAACTGGTCGATTGGTTTTTGTGATTCTGTGTTTTTGTAGTGCCAGAAAGACGAGTCTTCTTTGTATTCTAATTACGAATATTTTAAGTAAAATTTTGCTAAATTGAAGATTTAAAACAATTCCCCTAAAATTTAGTAGTGATTACTACCGGATATAAAAATATTAGTTGAAAATTATAGATGGACACAGAGGAGAGCCAGTAGGACCATTTGCTTAGACATCTAGATACTGTATAAAAGAATTGTAAACTTTAGTTTTTAAATAAAAAAATATGACATTAAATTGATTGAAAAAAATTCATTTGTAACGCCTAAAACCCATTTCATCTCATGCCGTGAAAAAACGATGAAGAGATGAAGAATTCAACATGAAATATTTTAGATCATTGCAATAATATAAATGCTATAAATGGTTTTTGGTTGTATAATAGCTTGATGATCACTTATAATTTTGTCATATACATATTTATTAGTGATTAAATGCTAACTTTTTGACAAAATTTGTCTATCTGTCATTAATCATATTCTTCAGACTTGAAATTGTTACTTTTTTATTACATATTTTATATACAGTACTTATTTTACGTGGATTCGTGTTTTCGCGGATTTTGGATGAACAAGGGTAATTCTTATTACGTGTATTAACGCTTACGCTGACAAGTTTTATTAGGAAATTTACTGTGAAATAAAATTAATGCCATATAAATGACAAGCAATTTTTTCTTCGAGAAAAGAAAATTTTTGTGTACAGTATGTCAGTTGTGCAAAAATAAAAGTAATATTATAATACTACATAACGAAATGGAAACCACAACGGAAAGTTCACGTACTGTACTACTCTGGAATCGTGTACGTGATACGGTATAATAAAATTTTCCTGTATACATTCAAAACATCGAACTAAAATGCTATACATTANAAAATTCTTTAAATTTTTAAAAATTTCTGTTAATAACCCGTAGTTGCGCTTTTTACCTCGATAATCACTTATATAACTACTTTTAAAATAAGAAAAAGTTTGTCTAAACTCAGAGAAAAGATTAAAATTTTAAAAAATTAAACGTATTTCTTCCTTTTTTCTTCTTCTTTTTTCTTTTTTATTGAGCTTAGTCGTTTGAAAATAATGAAGAATCTATCATATTTTTCTTCTAAGTAGAAATAGCAGCGAAATGACATTAATATTTCATAAAATTCAACAATTTTCTTGGAAATCTACTGAAAACTGCAATCAGCAATTTACTGTAGAAGTTCACATAATTCAATGTTAATGCTTTAATTATCTTATGATGAATGTTAAATGTTAAATTTTCTATTAACATGCATTTTAGGAATATGAAACAGTAAAAAACATTAAGTAAATGTCTTTAAAATACTTTTTAATGATTCATTTACGTCAGTCTTAATTAATTTGTATATATTTAGTAAATTATTTTTCCTTATAATTCTCTCTCTCTCTCTCTCTTTTTATAATAAATAATAGTATATTATTTAGTTTTCAGCAACTTAAATACTTTTTGTATTGCAGTGTATAAAGTTTTAGTAATTACAAGTGATGTATTTATTGTCATTTGAATAAAAACCGTGAATGCTATGCAATATCTGGACATTCTGAACAATTATGCACTTTTAACATTGTGGTAGTACTTCAAAGAAATTCTTTACATCTCTCAACAAGATAACATACCTTGCTATATTGATATTAACGGTTGGTAGTATACATATAAATACAAAAAATCCGAAATAAAAATATTATCCGAGCTTTTACATTTTTTAATATACTGGTAGGAGATTATCAGGACCGCTTGCCCTCAAAGATCTCAAAAAGTTCTTAAAAATTATTCATTTTGTTGCATTTTTTATGTGTTATGAAAATATCTTTATTATTAATTTTTTAATGTATAGTACTAAAACTTGAAAAATATAAATGTTCCGAATCTTTATCGAGCTCTGAATGCCTGGATAAAGA